GTCATCTAATCTATGTGAGAGATTTTTTTTAATATAATTTTCACCAAGCAACTTGTAGACGGCCGATTGACTTAAAAATTTGCAAATGAAATTGCTCGTATCAAGGACCGATGACAGTACAATAATTTAATAATTTTATTCTAGTATTCTGATCAGGATCACCAGAATAAAATCAAATATTTATCAGGATCATCACAGCTCACGATCAGTGCGTGTTGTTTAACTTTTTTAAACTATTATTTGAACTACCTAATAACTAGAGTCAATGGAAGGAATTTAATATAAACATTTTTTTTTTATTTCATTTATCATTTACAAGATTTTTTGTTCAAAATAAGGGTGATAAACGAGCACTTAGTCAATCTGATGTTAAGTGGACTCTGTGCCCCATAGATATTTACATACATTTCTTCTCCAATACGAATTAAAATGCAGAGGAATCTTACCCTTTCGGACTAAGATGGAATGCCTCGATGCCACTAAAAAGGGTCTCCGGTTCTCTACACTCACCATATGAAACAGCATGAAGCTGCTATTTTACGCTGGTTCTGTGAAACCGTGATCCTTCCCCGATTAAACCGACCCATTCGTACTACAAACTATAATATAACTGCAGCATAGCTAGGACTGTATCTCCTAAATACAGGTTACGAAGTAACCTAGATAGGAGACATAGAACCTATTTCTAATTGTTGATGGTCCACATAATCTGTCGTATATCTTTGTAACAGGTATTTAAGCTAAATTATAAAAATGTCAATATAGAATTATCATTATAACTATAGCTCTACCACGTCCAAAATTTACAAGATGAATGAAAAATACAATTAAAATATTATCGGTAACCCACAAAGGTTTGTCACTAATGATATCGTCAAAATCGATATTTTCATAAGGATTTAATAAAAATATTTATGTATAATATTACATTATGTTGTAAATAATTTTAAAATCGAACCAAATTATTCGATGACATGGGTAATAACTGCATTCTTAGTAAGTTCATTTCTAAGTGTTAACATAAATTTTGTCTTAATATTTTCTCGTGTAACGTTATTACGTAAATCAGGGGGTTAATTGTTTGTTATTCAAGGAACTAGATAACCGTAAGTAGCTGTATGACCGCTATAAATGTTATTAGTACGGGTGGTATAAAGCTTTACTTTTGTAAACTATATAAATAATTTTCCTTGACTCTTCATTACATAACTAATGTGACCGCATTTAATGTAAACTACTTTTAAATTTCTGATTTTTTTCGAGAATAGAATAACCGTGTAGATATTATAAGGGGCAATTATGAGAAAAGTCGAAAAGCCATGGCTCTCCGATAGACATTGTTAGGCATATATTATCTCGTGTGTGACAGATGATAAAGAATTTTCAAAAGAAGATTCAGAAGAGCAAAATGAGTAGAAAAAGGGGTTATTCGTAAACTTTAGGAACAATCTTAAGCTTGTGATACCAGTTACTCGACTTTATCGATGGGGCAATGTATATTTACGCCTTTACAACAAAGTATCAGAAAACAAACAAGGTCTATCTATTAAAGAAAATAAATACGTTTAAATTTTTTATTAAACACAGACTTTAACAAAACGGACAACCACATGATTTATAATAACCGCTGGGAATGAGGTGATCGCTTCCAAGCTGTTTCTTAAATGACTTTTGTTAGTAATTGTACCACCCATTTTTTATTTTAGAATGTTACTTTCTTTTTTACTTAAGAAAAAGTTCCGTTGGGTAACTGTATTTTTTCGAACGAGTGATAAAAATAAAAAAATATTTTCCATAAGAATTATTTATAATATTTGTTCAATAAAAACTTGTTCTATTCTATTATAACATAAACACTCACGCCTGTCACCCAGAGGGGTAGGCAGAGATTATGGACTTCCATGTGGCACGATCCTGACACACCTCTCTCGCTTCCCCCACATACATATACCTACGCATACACGCTCGTCGGTTAAAGGTACTCTTGATTTGGCCCATTTTTAATATATCGCCAATTTGGTCGATAAACTTTCGCCTAAGGCGACCCTTCCCGACTTCTATTCTATTCTATTCTAATATATTCTATTCTCGATCGAAATTGAGGTCGAACCATAGAATTCTTTCTCAGTATTTTTCTTTTATGAATGTAAGAGTATCATTCGTATTTTGAACAAATGTAGAGTCGAGAGGACGGAATATTTAATACATTCTTTTGTATCTTATTTTGTAGACTAAGAGTGGCAAACAAGTACACAGTCCACCTGATGATCAGTGAATGCATTGAGCCATTGACTCTTACATTAAGCTGCTATTTCAGCGCTACACTGTGTGTTTCGTATGGTGAATGTAGCGAATCAGGAGATTCTTATTACTGGATGACAACGTATCTGTATTTTGATGTCTAATTTAGGATTACATCCCTCTAGTCGCTCTAGAACTTTTCCTCATCGGTTATCGATTTGTTGAGTTATATGGCCGGTCACATGCCACTTTATCTTACTGATCCTTTAGACTATGTTAGGTACTCCGGTTCTACTGCGGATATCATTAATCGGTTAATATTCTCAAACCATAGTCCACCTATTAGCGGGCTTTACATGTCTTGCACTCTGTACGCGAAAGAACAGGGGGAGGAGATAGAAAAAATTAGTTTTAATTTTGATTTAACTCAAAGAAAGATGTATAAATGTCATTGCTGTTTAATGGACCATTCAGATAACAGGTGAAATTATTCCAAACAATTTTTATTTAATTTGTAAGGAATTTTCTTATTTTATTTTTATGAAATGGAAAGAATCAATGCCATGGGTTATAGAAATTGATTTTTTCAACTTGTTGTAGAACCTTAAGACTTTTAACGATTTTTCCATTATTTAATATTGGGACAAAAATGTTAAGCCGTGGTAAGCGGCCTATTTTTAATTTTTAAATTTTACCGATAGTACCGTACCTATTTATCTAAAAGTTAAGGGAGATCATAGACAATAAATATTCAGATATATTTTTTATTATATAATAAGTATAACAAATGGGCATAGTCCACCTAGTGGTAAGTGGATGCTGTAGACTATAGGCACCTATAGACTATAGGCGTCTCTACTCAATTAGGAGAACACGCATTAACGTTATTGGAATTAATGCATCGGTAACTCTGAGAACTCATAAGGAATGTCTCGATACCAGTAAAAAGATACCAGTAAAAAGGAGCTCTATTCTCTGTAATCTCCATACGAAAGGAAGCAACAATATGCTGCTTATTTTAAGCTGGTATGAAGCGTGGCCCTTTCTCAACCGAGCAGACTCCACTTCTCCACGTCCACGTACGTATGTATGTCGAAGCGTCTGAGCATTGCTGTACATTAGAATTTTTTTTGAGAGATGACACTCCCTATTTACAATTCAAGAAATTCATAGATACTATAAGTTTTATTTTAAATGTGTCTCTTAGAAATGTTTGCAAGATGAATATTGTATACATTTTTCAAATGACATTTTGCGTTAATCGATTTGGAGAATTCATTATATGTTCGAGAGTGTGTAAATCTTAGGAATGGAGAATTCAGTTTCAGTTCAGCTTTCAGTTCTTCTTTTAGTTTGACTGCCTCTGTTTAAGCTTCCATCTGTCGCCTCTTACGACACCTATGGGATGACAGTGGATTCTCTTACGTGATCACTAAATGGCGAGTTTTACTATGACATTCGATATCTAAAGGTAGCTTTATAAACTGTGAATTACAGAGAACTTAGTTAAGTTAGGGAGGGTTTGAAATTTGTTCACATTAAATATATTTTTAAATAAAAATTTAAGTAATGGTAACTAAAATTATAAATTTTTGAGTAGAATAACAGTAAATTGTATACGAGTAGGCAATAGACTGTTCTTGGTTTGCTTTTTTGAATTTTAATTAATTGGATTCTTACCAGATTAAAAAAGATAATGTCGATATTATGTGGTTGGTTAAACTATCAAAAGAATCCTTATTATTTTGGAAGTAAGATATTAAAATTTCGCATCTCCAGCATATTTATATTAATCTACTATCCTTAAAAATGTATACCTGATTAAAGGAGAAATGATAATAGAAACTTTGCTCGTATAAATATCTTTTTTATGTCTAATGCATTGATTAATAGCATAGTATGTAAAAAACGCAAATACAAAGAATATAGTGTATAAGAATAAAAAATACTGATGACTGGTAGTCAACTGAATTAATTTCAAAAAATATTAACTCATAGATAGGAGTTATGGCATACTGCATTCAAATACAGTAGGCTAGAATTCAAATGGGCCACTAAGGTGATGCGTCCGAATCGCCAACGCAGCCCGATAATGCATTGTCCAGTTACACGAACACCCCCGAAAATACAGCATGCGAAAAAAGCCATCCTCACCACCTCCCGTTAATGTCCCCCCACCGCGCACTAACTATCTTTTTTTTAATACATAACTTTTTTTCAAGATGCATTTTTACATGTTTCGGCCTAAAACTTTACCCACCCAACAGCGCGAGCCGAGTGAAGTGGTAACGCCTATCATCCGCCGGTCTTCTCTTTCTCGCACGGTAAAAACTCGCGCCGGACGATAGTGGTGCGAGCGAAACGACTGTACCCGAGGCCAGTACTTCGTCTTAAACTAAGATTAAGGCTGTATTTCGATTTTCCGAACGCAGACTCTTGACCGTAACGCATCGCATGTCCGCGTCAGCTTGTGAGGCCTACTTCCGGTAAAGACGTCTTTACGTGCTGTGGGAAATTATTAAATTTTAATAATAAAAAGTCGCCGCGCTTAAAATAAGAGGTGACCGCTATATGTCTCACTCTAGCGTCCAGTGCGAAGGCATTTGCGCTACGACAATTGAGTTGAGTTGAATTGAATTGAGTCGGTTAAACCGTAAAAATGGTACGGGTGGACTAGCCTGCGCGAGAAAGAGACGAACGAAAGGCGGGTTGCCCGAGACCGCTGCCTTCTTCTCCTCGACTTATGCCGAGTCGCGGCTAGTGAACGTCAGCGTTTTGACGTGGACGGCTGTATCGCGTTCGTTCGTACGCTTGTCGGCCATAGAGAAAAAAAACATTTCGCGCGTCTTTTGACAGCTAATTTGAAACTTTTTAGTGCGTTCGGAAATTGGACTGAAATTGAAGTGTGGTTCATACAATTAATGCTGAATAAATTGGAGTCCTAATTTGCAGTGTTAATTATCGGCTTGGAGTGGCCGTTGAGACGCTATAAAGTGATGAATCAGTGAACGCCGGCTAATTAATAGCGCACTGTTGCTACGAAAACAAATCTTAACGCCTCCAACTACCGCAGTATATTGTAAGTATTATTTTTTTTAAATATGTTAATGGATAAATACTTACGTGCGCATACCTTATAAATTATTTTTTATTACACGTAAAACTTTTTAAACACGTGTTATTTTGATTGTGTGAAGAAAGTACTACAGACAATAGCAAGCCGAAACAAATTATTTGTAAAATTTTTAAATTAATAATTTTTAAAAATCCGTTTGTATTTACGAAATGGTGATATTGTTTTTATTTGGTTTAATGTAAGTTTTTCAATATATTTGGAAAAATCGGTTACCCATAGACAAATTCGATATATCCGATATTGATATACAGATGATGATGATGTTGCATAATTTTTTTTGTCGCGATAAAGTGCAAAAGGTGTCTACTGGGCGGGGCGAGCGCGCTTCAAACAGCTGATTGGCTCGAACACGTCATGTGTTCGGTTTTTCGTAGGCATCACATATTTGTTTGAAATTTTTCCGAACATCCACTGCAAGCGTAAACACATTTTTAAAGTAAAATCATTACTTATTTAACAAAATAAAGTATTATAAAGAAATGATTTTACAATACACAATAATTTTTCATTATTTATGACATGAAAATAAAGCTAATGTATTATGCACATGGATAATTTAAAAATCAATAATGTAATAAAAACGTCACATTCATTAAAAAATACATTTTAATGATAATTAAAAAATCCAGTGCACTAAAATATTGACCTAAGGAAATTAAAACTTTCTAATTCGGTTAACTAAGTGTATCACAATTATCTAATTGTAGTATATTAATGTATAGAAAATATCGAAAAATTTAATATTTAGAATAAGGATTTAATTTTATATAGAGCGTACAAATACCTAATCTTGTGTAATTACTTTGAAAAAAAAAACAACTTATTTTATATGATACCAAGTAACTCATTAATAAAACTTAGTATCATATTGTATAATAATAAGTTCATTATCAAGTAACTACTAATAATAATTTTTACGAGGTAGAGCCACGCTGCAGGTATATGTATATGTAAATGGCTGCCTCACGAATGGATCGGCTCTACCGGAGTACGACTGTAGGACCACACCTCACAAATACCAGCGTGAAACAACAGGATAATGCTGTTGTGTTTCGTATACTGAGTGTAGACGATCGAATACCCTTTTTTTTTATGGTAACTAGGCATTCCATCTTAGTCATCAGAGGTGACAACGTGTCTACATTTTGATTCTTAATCGAGGATAGATGTCTATAGTCCATAGGCCACAGCACCCACTTGTCATCAGATAGTCTTTGTGATCGCTTGTCTAAGATTTTTGGCTAAAAACTTGACATAACTAGGCATAAAAACAGTTGCGATTTTTTCATTATTTTAATTAATTATGTGGCCTCTTGTTTACATATCTACTTACTAATTTAAAATTCACGCTGAGCTATATATAAAATCTTAATTATGATAAATATAATGACACAGGCTTTTTTATTTACAACGATAAAAAATTCTATTTGGTAATAAAGCTTACTTTATTTGCAAATTATTAAATTAATATCGACTTAAAGGGTAATTATGAATTATATAATAATGCTACTTTTTTTCAACCCATGATACGTTTTAAAGAAAATCGTACCAATAACAACATAAGATCCACTTTAGCATATATATAGATGCATATAGATAGATCTTGTATCAATATAGTAAATATCATCTTCATCGTCATCAATAACGGGATGTATTGGGGACGATGAAGATATTTACTAAGACTTCATAAGTCGACTACTGACCGTAGGCCAATTTTTTATTATTCAAATTATGCAAATTAATTTATGATATGATATAAATAAATAGTATATTAGACCTACCATGCCTATCTATATATTAATTCTATAACTTTTAACTCAAAATCTTAGCGTTCCTTTGTAGCGTGGGCGTGCTGTGTTGTTACCACACTCTGTTTGTGTCGCCAAACAGCAATACACCTACTTTGTTCCAGCTGTTAGTTCCGTCGTTCCGTTTAAAGGTTATGATAGCCAGAATAATTAATGTTGAATTGTAAGGCTGAGAGGCATTCCGTTTTAACCATCAGGTGGTTGCAGATGTCCAAGGGCTGCTAAAGTCTTTTACCATCATTTGGACCGTAACTTTAACTGTCAATGTCACTTTAAATTTGTACAAAAATATAGTTATGTTTTATGTAATATGTATTATGTTGAATTTATGGAACATAGAATTAAAAAAAATATTTAAACTGTACGCTTTAATCGTGAGCTATGATGATCATCATTGTCATGAAATTATTGTATTGTCATCGGTTCTTAATACGTTAGATATTCTCAGTGAAAAAATCCATTACATTCATACAAACACACATACAGAATTAACTGGCAGAGAATGGCACAAGGCATTAAGTCCGCCCATTATAAGACGTGACGCCTAAGGTGATTAGGTACATTAAAAAAAATCAGGTCAAAAAAGCTAATAGAAGCGGGGTAAAAACAAGGCACAGCTATATTATAATATAGCTTTTATACGTGGTAGAGCCATGCTGCAGCTATATTAGTAGTATAGTTGTAGCACGAATGGGTCGGCTCGATCGGGGAAGGACCACGCTCTCACAGAATACCAGCGTCAAATAGCAGCTTAAGACTGGTGTGTTTCGTATGGTGAGTGTAGAGAAGTGGAGACCCTTTTTACTGGAAACGAGGCATTCCATCTTAGTCCTCACGGGTGGCGACGCATCTGCATTTTGATTCGCAAACGAGGATAAATGTAGATGTCTATGGGCCACAGCAACCATCAGGTGGACTGTGTGCTCGTTTGTCACCCTATACTTAAAAAAAAACCTATTCCCAGGTTTAAACTATCAAAGAAACTCGTTAGAATTTTTAAAATACATCGTGATTTCAAAAGTACAAAATATCATCATTCACCTATTTTATCATTTGACCATATTTTAAAACAAAATGTAACGTCTGTGAGTCACTTGAGTCTTAATTGTAACACTGAATCGTAATTGAAATGATCTGCGATAATCTGTGTCTTACGAAAGCACGTCGTTCGCATTTGCAAATAATATCAAGTAGCGCAATTGGTGTAAGTACATCTTAAATTAACTCGCTCGTTCGTTTTTTCAACATTAAGACGTTTCGAGTGGAAACATCTCGCCATTTTACGACACTGAATACCGTCTGACATCAAATTTTATAACCGTTCGAACAATTACGTCTAATCAGTGCCTTTTCCTCTCCACTCCAGTCTCACTCGCGAGCCACGCGTGTGAGTGGGACAACCACAACCACTCCGCTACGCCCATCAATGTCTAATTGCTTTTATTATTTTAAGGCATCGTAATCATTATGGCCGCAATAAAAATTGTAATTACTTCTCATTAGTTCAATTAAGAATTTTCTAGACACGGTATAGTTGTTCAACATATCAATGTTGATTGCAAAACGGTCCGATCTGGTGATGCATTGTGTTGAGAAAGCGGCGTTTTATTGCTATTACGTTAATAACAAGGGAATTGTCTATAGGTGAAATCCGACGTCGATAATCGATAAACTTTATGAGCGTTAGACACGGCTTATATCAATCAATATTAATGATCACTCCGAAATATGGAACTAATCGATGTATTTTAATTTTTAATATCCATAAGTTAAATGTTTTAGAACATTTGGGAACAGACCGACCGCCGCGGCTGTAGAGAAGCCTTACTAGCTCGCTTATTATACGACTATTTGAATTTAAACATGCGATTTCCTAGACTACACCACGTTCAGTTTTATCGATTATAAAACCGGAACGCCTGTGCAGCTTAAAACCTCTAATTAATTAATGGTTTATTATATTGAAAACTTCGATTCGATTCTATCGATTATTTTGTAACTGAATCTGAGAAAGCATCTATCAAATACAAAAGTTTTCTTGCGTTAAAATCAAATCATAATTAAAACGGTAATGCCCCATTCTTACTATCGACACTATTAAATTTTAATTTTTAACATATTTTGTTACGAATGGTAATTAAATTTCAGTATTAATGTGCTATAAACGAAAACATATTTCGTGACTACTATTTTAATACCATTACCGCTTATTACTGTCAGATATTCTTTGCTTTAACCTATTTTAGCATATAATAAAAATAAAAAATGATAAAACAAATGAAATTAAAATTATATATACTGACCGTAATTAAAATTGTAAAAAAAAAGAATAATTAGAACGATGTATTCGATTTGAAATTACAGGTAAAAACAAATAGTACAAAAAAACGTAGTTTTCGAACGAATGTGTCACGAATGGCGAGGTGTGTTTCAGCGCGCGAGAAAAACTTTGCTAAAAGTTTCACGCACGTGACTAACACGTGGTCTTGAGTGAAAAATCGCGCAGGCCCCGTGCTCCTTGCACGCTGCCGCCCCTCCGTAGCTCGGCTCACGATCGCGACGCCTAAGGACTAACTGTACGCTCTCAGTGAGAAGCGGAAGCGGCGATGACAGCGTCAAAGTTGCTGATTTCTATAGACTAACTAACTATTATCTAAAATTAACGTAAAATATTTTATTTGTTTTTATATATTATTTATTAAATATAAAAAGGCATTAATATGAGATTACAATAAGATAGTAAGCAATTTTAAAATATGTCTTAAAAGATAATTAGATATAACAAAATGTTCGATCTTTTTCTTATACCCTGATAATGCCGTGAGGCGAAACTGCTCGGTTTTTATAGTTAGTAGATTTACAGATTTACATTAATTATTTACAATAAATAACGTGAAACAATTAGAAGTCTATAGCTGGAGTTACACCAGCAAGTTTAAATTAAATATCAGATCTCATTAATATTAATTTAAAAAGGCATATTTTATTTCTTTCATTTTTAATGTACAAAATCTATAAAAATTACTTGTGATGCGCTAAGCGCATCAGCTTCATAATAAATCTGTCGTATGAAAACGTTACCTCGCTTCTAGAAATAAAGCAGGGAGAATTTTAGAAAAAGCAACTTATGTGCCCAACAAAGTGTCATCTTTATAATTTTTTTTAGACATTAATTATTATGATTCGCGTCTCTTGTCAAACGAACCTTGTCCGTATGTAAAATGTTTATAAAATGATTTAGTTTTTGTGCAATCTATACAAATAAATAAATAAAATTGAAGTGTCTCTTTGTAATATCAAAATAACAGCTTTTTACTAAATATATATTTAAAGTATATACGGTACTTAAAACAAAAATATTTTTAAAATGTTGTCTGTCTGTCTGTTTGTTCCGGCAAATCTCCGAAATGTCTTGACCGATTTTGACGTTACTTTCACTGGCAGGCATATCTGATGTTAAGAAGTAACTTAGGCTACTTTTATTTTAGAAAAATAATAAGGGTTCCGCGCAAAAAAATTAAAACCCAAAATTGAACTTGGGCGAAGTCGCGAATTACATAAAAGTAGATTTACAGAGGTACATAAACGGTAACAAGTACTGTAACGTGAAATTAGTGGTTGATATATTTTATACCAGCTGCACCCGTCACTTGGCTACTTGGCTTGCGTACTTTTTAATTCTAGTAGATCCATAATCATTCAAGTTTTAACGTTCTTTGCATGCCGAAAATGAATAAGGTTACATAAATTTGACATCGGGTTGTAGGAATAAAGCCTTAAGTTTAAAGTCACTGATCACTTACGTGCACTGGCCGTAGATAACAGGGTTGCCAGTAGAGCAAATTTACTTATATTGTCGGTTCGCAGAAATTAAACAAAATCAAATCTTAACTTATTATTGATATATACAAAACTGTTGAGGAATAGTTTAAAGCAAATACAAATATATTTATGTCTATTATTTACTTTAAATTATATTGTATAGGAAAACTCTTATTAATTTTATATTATTATTTTTAAGGTTTGTTAATAACTTGATTGTTATTAGCGAACTTGCGAAAAGAATGTAACATAAAAGAGATGTTTTAAGTCTCGCAGAGTTTACCATACATATTCATTGTTTTATTGTATCCAACTATACAAGACAATCTGCTATCCAAACGGGATATTATATGACATAACCTTATACACAATTTGTATCCAATCATTAAATTTGGTCGTCCTGGTAGTTGAATAATGGCAATAGACAACTGAGTTTTTTCTCTTATTAACAAAAGTTTCCAGTCCCCTGATAGTAATCGCTCCATGGATAACTGCAGTCAACTTTAAACAAAAAAAGCTACAGATACGTTATCACCGCCGAGGACTGAGATAAAATACTTCGCATCCCATAATTATAATTGTTCTCTATGCCCTACTAACCAAAATACAACAGTGTGAGTTATTATTAGGCGGTAGAAAGAAGGTGGTACATACATAGACGGGCTTACCGGCAGAAAAGGAGTTTTACCACCTACTTTGTTCTTCATTCAACATATATTATTTATTACGTTAATGAAACATGGGCAAACCATAGAATATTAATTTAAGTTTTTTTTTTAATATTTAAATTATGAAGTAATGAGCAGTTGGACCGTCTAGTGGCGGTGTAAGAATATCTACTACCCAATATCGTCAAGTAGGTGTCGTAAAGCAAAGGAGTGGAATCTTTCCGTCCGAATACAATCTGGGCGTCTTCAAGGCAACAGTGAATAGGCTTTTGTTACGCTAAGACAGTGTGATTTACCATCTAAGGCTGCATCATCACTTACCACCAGGTGGGATCGTGGTCAAGCACTGGCTTATAATAAGAAAAAAAAAAGAAGTGACAGAAGGAAACGAACTAGGGAATGGGTCGTAGTATCTTCCTAATCACAAATAAAATTAAAAAGTTACAATTACCCACTCGCCTGCCAAGTAACTATAAAAATCTCCCACTTATGAGGCAATTTACGGGGGGGGGGGGGCTGTTCCATCCATGCCATGTTCAGCGGTGGACTTTTACTAGGCTGTAACGGTAATAGAAACGAAGCAGTTTCAATTTTTTTTTCTTAACGCCGAAATTTCTTTTCTACGTTTCAATGTGTGAGCGAATGTATAAGGAACCGAAAATGCTTTCGAAATTACAGACGGGTATGCGTCTATTCACTTTACTTACGCCAAAATCTCTAACGTAGGCCATATAATGAGGCATTGAGAAATGGAACAAAACCATTGTATTTTGATACCCAAGTAAATAGAAAAAGGAAACAAGGTAGACAGTTTCAAAGGTGGGAAGACGAAATAGAAGCCACAGCAGGGAAAACATAGACTAGGAAAGTGATGAATAGAACAGCGTGGAAAGAAATGGAGGAGGCCTTTGCCAAAGTTGGGCAAACAGACCAAGTTGTTGGTTTCCTCGACTAACGAGAGTCGTGAATATAAGATTTATGTTATAAAAAAAAATGTGTCTGAATAAAGGTTTATATTATTGTTATTATACGTCTATTCTCTTTACTTACTCCAAAATTTCTAACGTGTGTTTACATGTGTGGGTGAACGAGCATGGCTCGGCGTTTACAAAAAAAAAACATAATTTTCTCTGAAATCATTCAAAGATAACTAACTTGGAACAAACTTGGAAACTAATGTCATCACGGCCACAGTTTCTTATTTTGTATTTGTTATTAAGAAGACGTAGTAGATATTCTTACACCCCCACTATACAGTATAGTTTAACAATGTTTTAGCAATATTTTTTTTAATATTAGTTTTTGTCGCACCTATCGACTAAATTATAAAAATTTTAATATTTTTTGTTCTGTGATAGTGAGGTGAACGGCTCCGGCAGGCAGCAAGCTGTTTTACCCTTACCTGAAGACGTCTTCCCTTCACAGGGACTTCCTGTTTGCCAGTGGCTCCGGTAAGTTGTTATTTTAGTAACGAACGCTATAATGTTTGTTTGACATAAATTAGATAAAACGGAATTTTACAGGATAGTTCCCACTTTTCAGTATTTCAACTGAATATAAATCATTTTACGAGTTCAACTACTGAGATAAAACAGTTAAATAATTTAATCGTAAAATAAATTTTATTTATATGGTATTGATGTACCTTTTATTGGAAGTTGGTTGGAAATATTTTATATCACTAACAATGGGTTAAAGTGCGACTGAAGTGGGTCTTTAGCCAACCTAGCAGCACCCTTATACTTGTCGCTACAATCATTCAGAAGAATTCTTGTTGCTACAGTAACACCAATTACGTGATTATGCAAAAATTACTGTAGTGCGTAATGCATTTATTCTAAAATATTTGATCTTTGTGATACTCTGGAATAAAAGACATACAAAAGCACACAACAATAAGTTTGTTTTAAAAGTAAATTCCGTGAAAAATTGTTTCTTTTTTTTTTGTTTGTCCTGACTGACGTAAACAATATTTATATAACTTTTAGATTTGTGTGTATTTATTATTGATATATTTTGTTTTTTATTACAAATGTATGTATATATTATTAATTTTTACCACTTCCTTCTTTATATATCTGGTTCTTAGACAAATTTTTCATTGGAATGGAATGCCTTTCGGCATTAAATCCGCCGCATTTACCATATTGTATGTATTTAACACTTGAATTAATTGGCGAAAAAACAACGTACTGGTTAGCTTATACATTTTGTTTTAAAAAAAAGTATCGCGTTAATAACTTATGGCAATTTACAAATTATTTAAAAGATCATTTTAGTGGGTTCCAAAATTATTATTTTAATTGAAACGATTAATGTAGATACTCAAAGACAAATTCAGAGGAACCCAAAAAAAAAACGTGTGTATAAAACAAAATTACATGGATATTTGTGACAATTAAGTTTATTAATTTTTAAGTTTATTGGTTTTTGCTTATTATTCGTTAATTTAAAAATGTATTCCATTTCTAAAACTAATTCTCCCCGTAATGCGTTTTTAAGAGCTTTTAAATTAGCTTTATAAATTTATCGCAGTATGAAAAAACGCAATAATTTTTAATAAAATGATCCAATAATTACATGAAAACAAATGAAGGGCGAAAAAAAACCATTCCAAAACTTTATTTTTTCTACCGACTTCAAAAAGGAGCCGGTACTCAATTCGACTGTATGTTTTTTCTTTAATGTGTATTATATATACTTCTTACTGGGTGAACCGATTTCGAGGATTCTTCTTTTATTTGAAAGCTGGTGCTTCCCATGTGATACCATATAAATTTGGTCAAGGTCTGACCAGTAGTTTTTGAGTTAGTCTTAATAATTTATATTGAAGTTGGTTGTACAAAAAGTGTAAGATTTTTCCGTTATGACCCATTCTAACGTAGTGTAGACGGCCTTGGCGGTTATGAGGAAGCGAGATGTCCATTTCCCTCGCACTTTTTTTTTATCTTGCCATGAAAGAAAATTTATTTTATTTGACGCTTCATTTTAATAGACGCTAGTAATTCATTTATTTGTATTTGTTAAATCAATCATATAATACGTTTATCAATAATAATATAATACGAAAGGAACTTCGTTCCAACCTAGTGTTCCACGACACTCACGCATGTTTTTTTTAAAATAGCAATTACTAATGTTTGTGGCCAGTTCGCACGATAATTACAACAGAAGAAATGAGACCTTTTTTGCGGTCCTATATGAAATCGATCAATTTTCATTCAAAACAGTTTTATAAGTGTTGCTTACCCTAACATTTGTTGTTTTAAAAAACGTATAAATACCACAGAGTAGTTTTCGTTTAACACATCCGTGATATATTATAATCTTACGCGTGATCCCTCCGTAACGCAACACATAAAAGCACCCATAAAAACTATAAATTTGAATTATATGTGTTTGTTTATTCGTTTTAACGAGTGATTCTTATCGTTGTTAGACGATATTATAACATTTAACTATAATACATGTAACATTTTTACGGCAACATTTATAATAGTATGATATTTAAAAAAAAACAACCAATTATTCAAGGGGTTAGCCGCGATCATTATGGGGATAAGGAGTGCAGGAAGGAAGTCTGTATGTATATTTTTTATATTATGCAATTTTATTATTTTGTGCAACCAGTACTACTATCACTAGTACTCCCATATTGGTGTGGCACTTATTGTGTTCTATGTTTATGAGAGACATAAAAATAAGTATCAAAATTAAAAAAAAATTGTGCAACCGATTTCAATATAAATAAAATGAGAACATCATCATTATACTCGAAGTCTATTAAATATGCATTATTTAGGATAACTCAAAACTACTGGTCAGATCTTGATCAAATTTATATCGGACCAAATGAGAAGCACCACATTTCAAATTAAAAAAATAGAATCATCAAAATCGGTTCACCTAGAAAAAGATCTGAGGTAACACACATATAAAAAAAATCTAAAAAAAGGTTGACCCTGCAGGCCATCCCATTTTTGGTTTTTTGTTTTTTATTTTTAGAGAATCTTTGAAACAGTTCGGCCGATCGACTTGAAAATCTAATCAGTTCGAAGTTAGTACCTAGTAGTAGTAAGTAGTATTTACATACATATACACACACACACACACACACACACACACACACACACACACACACACACACACACACACACACACACACACACACACACACACACACCCGCCCACGCACGCACACACGCCCACTCGCACGCGCAAAAAAGGCATTAAATTTTTTTCATACTATGTGCTAGTACGTAAAACAAAGATGATCCCTTTATAAGCTGCATAAATGATTGAGAATGTTAATCATCATCCCAAATTTACAGCCGTCCTGTTGATCATAGTTACGATTTCTAAATCTGTGCTTCGTAAATATAACAACACTAGCTGTGCCCCGCGGTTTCACCCGCGTCATCACGTGTCCGAGGTGCGCGACATGACCTAGTTCAAGCATTTTATAACGGCTAGGGTTTAAGCATCGTTCGCGCGCCCAGCCAAGTATTGAATTATTTTAATTTTACATTATATCTTAAACTATGCGTCCAAATAACATGGTATAAAGAACAAAGTTTATCTTTATAAAATTTTCTTGATGATGAAGTAACTTTCGTTCGTGAGGATAAATAGGCCATGCCTAATAATAACGCTCATAAATCACTTTTAAATTTTCAATTTTTTTTTTGTCACAAAATACCAAATTATGGCTTATACATAAGAAATAGACATATGGTATTGCGGACTGTTTTAAACGGAGTAAAGGTCTATATTTATCTAGAACATTGTATTTACGTATCCCTAACGATAACACCAGCGTACGCGAATAAATCATTTCGGGAGTGCTTTTTCTTCTGACTTGCTTAACAAATGTCCATATTTAAGGCTAGCTGAGTGATATAGCTTAATACTAGATAGCCTATACTATTCCACATGAATCTGGCTATAATATACAAAAAGAATTTTTCAAATCAGACTGGTAGTTCCAGAAATTAGCGCGTTTAAACAAACAAAAAAACAAAAAAACTCTTCCGCTTTATTATATTATTAGTATAGATTTCAAAATGTTGTTAATATCGTTATAAGAGGCTCACTAAAAGACGCGTAACTCTAGGCTTTTGCTTGTTTTCTTTTCTTTTTTAAATGATGGTTGTATCATTTACACCTATAATTGCTTCTACATTTCACCATTTACAACACAATATATAAGTACAGTATATATGTATTATCTTTAGAATATAATATATTATTTTATATTGATGATACTGACTATTATATACTGAAATAGAGATATACAGGCAACTTTGTAACGCTATTTATAAATATAAATAGGTGATACTTTTGCGGATATATTTACGTGCTTCACATTGAAAGCGTGCAATTAATGTTATAAATAATGTTACATATACACATACAATAATTTTAACTGTTTAAAATATTCTATCCAATTTGGCAATGAATCCATTAAAAGACTAAAGCTTCATCTTGAATCTATCTAAAGTCTAAGAACAATTTGTGGAAACTACTAAGTTTATTCATGTTATATTGTGTCTAGCCAAAACAGTAAACGCCTGTCTACACCAAAACAATGAGATATTTCCATACCAAACTCATAATATCCTAACTTATTTGGCTGCGGAATTACTCTGATGCGCTTCAGAAATTTAAAGTTTTTAATTATTATTAACTGTCGTTATATTAACCCTTAACTGGTAATAACTCATCTCTTCTTTTTTTCTACAAAAAAAAAGCGACTACACGGCTAGAAATGGGCCTCTACCGTTGTAGGGAGAGGTTACTTTAATCGTCAAGGTGATTGACGATCGCGGTACCAGACGTTTCGCACCTTTGATGCTGAGCTGCAGTTGATTCTTTTAAACACAAGGTGACGAATATGCAAAATATTATAATTGTCATCGTTAAATTAGGGACCCGAAATTTTGAACTACAGAAAAGCGAAAACTTAGTACAAGAATGGAACAAAATGGGGGTATCTCTATAAAATTTAAAAATAAATTACAGTTGACTATTCTCTGTTCTGTGCAGTGGGACGGATGTAAGCTGTCACATCACTTTTTCAACAATAAATTAACACTTCTTTAATATTTGATATACTATTTACGACAAATATACAAAAATGCATAATCTCATAATGTTAAAATTCGTGTCATGTTTATTGGTATATTGTGAAATTTTATATTTAATAAAAGTATTAACATATATTTATTTTTTTTTTAATTGTAACATGGCATGCAAAAAAAAAAACATAGAGTTTTTTTGCCGCATCTCTGCGAAGATCTTGTTCTCCGAACCGGTGTATATTTTGAGGTTCATAGGAAATTGGAGGAAATCTAAATAGAATAAAAAGTTTGGACTATAACTTTGATTTATCCAATATATTACGAATATATTTTATGGTCTTCATTACTCTCTATATATTACAATTGACATA